GAATCGCTCTTATATTCATCTCAATAATATAAAATCATATGAAAGGGAAAATCCTTTGCAGATGAGTAAAGTTTCCTGCAACTAAAACATATCCTGTTGTCCGTCAAATATATCTATATAACTATATATGATAAAATTCCTCTTTAATTTTAATGCATAAAAATTACTCTGATATAATCTCTTTTAATGATATTTTATAAAAAGGAACATACTTTAAAAAACAGAAAAGTTCACCGGAAGAAGAAAAGAGATGTCCTATCGCCATAATTTATTATAGTTTACCAGATTGGTCGATTTGAACAAAATTCACTTCGATATTTCTTGTATTTATATCAAGAAACCAGCTTGTATCGAAATAAAAATGGTTTACAAAGCAGAGAAGTTTATGTATTAAAACGTATCTTACTTTATCTCAGTAAAACGAAATCATATGAAAGATAAATTCCTCAGAGAACAAAAATATCCACTGAAACAAAAAAAAGCATACTGTTCTACATCAGACGTATCGACAAATGATTATATATAATAGATTTATCCTTGTGACTTGAATTCATCGAAACATACTCTATCTTTATCCAGATGAATCAGTTCATATAAGAAGGAAAATACCTTACAGAACAGAAAAATCCACTGAACGAAACAAAAGTTCTCTTATCATTTTTATGCATATCATTAAGTTCTTTTGATTGACTAGTAAAGTCCTTCTATTCACTAGCCGACTTTAGGTAAAGTGAACAATTTCTGAAATAGTAAAGTCCGCCGAATAAAAAGAAAATTCCGCTGAGAAATAGAAAAGTCCTCTTACAAAAAATAAGGTAATCTATTAATAAGAGAAAAGTCCTTCTGTTAAGAGAAAAATGATGCATGAAACCATGTGACTTAAATTCATCGAAGCGTATTATATCTTTATCCGAATGAATCAGTTCATATGAGAAGAAAAATACCTTACAGAACAGAAAAATCCGCTGAACGAAACAAAAGTCTTCTTGTCATTTTCATGCATATCATTAAGTCTCTTTGACTTTAATCTATTCAAATGTCTCTCGTATACATATGTTAAAAAATCAAATCATATGAAAAGAAAAATCCTTTGCAGAACAGAAAAACCCGTTGGAAGTATGAAATGTCCGCTGGTGAAGTATTTTTTCTTTCTTTTTCTGTGACTACTTGTATATATGGATATATTATCAGATTTTATCCGATATGTAAAGTCCCACATATTCTTAGCGGACATTAGGTAAAGTGGACAACTTTTGAACTTTTGACATTGCTGGTTTCGGCCGGTCGAACCGGTTTAGACCGATTTAGCTCGGTCAGACCGGTTTAGACAGGTTAGACTAGTTTAGACCGGTTTTACCGGTAGACCGGTTTCATCTCTGGTACGGACGGTGATCACATGATCAGCACTGTCTAGCAGTCTTAAAAAAATGAATTTTTAGAAAAAATGAAGTACTTTCCAACTAAATAGTGTTTGCTTACTTTCGAAAATCATTTTTTGATACAGATTTTTTTAGAACATAAGAAAATGATAAGTTTAGGAGGCGGAGAGGTGAGCATAACAGAATCTACTTACTGCTCGAGTTCTATAGAACTTGGTCAGACAGTCACATTTTTAAACGTCGATCAAACGACATAAAGAGAAGAACATGATCATAGTAGTAGAAAGCAAAATAAAACGAGTGTATGTTAAACAACGAACAGCAATTATGTTCGCTTGGACAATTCGTATATTAGAGCCAAGATAGATGTTGCAGTCAAACACTTAGATAAGATTTTGAATTGAGAAGAAATATCTCTGAAAGGACATGTAAAACCATAAACTTTCCTCCTTACAATGCATATCATGACAATCAAGTTTCATAAGTGAGAACATACACCTTTTAAGAGATACTTGTTTTTACTATGGCAATACTGTGTGTGATCTAGAGCATCAATATTTTAGATACTCTTCGATACCTATTCCTTCTTTTTGTTGAGTGAAAAATGTAAAAAAAAATCGACATGAAAGAAAATAGCATTGTGAGTCCTACAGCGTAACGAAATATGCTAAATCAAAAGAGAACTCAGCGGAATAAAACTGTCAATGTTTGACTTAAAACAAAGATTTATTGTTTTTAAGAAAGAACAAAATTGATACTCTGTTTGAGTAAAGCAAAAATGACAATATGATTTTAAGATTTTTCGCAGAAAAACGTGCTTTATTTATTGAAGCCAGCAAAAAAAGTATACATTAAGGTCGACGTCGTTGCAGCTGGCTTCATGCCTGGTACGCTTTTGGCTTATACAGGGTTGCCAAAATGTTTTGCCTGGAAGGTGTAGAATTCCAACGACAAATGATATCAACATTGAATTTCATACAAAATGAAAGCTCGTCAAAAATAGGATTTATCTATACGCATCAATAAGGTCTATACAGATTATTTGTTGTCAAATGTTGAAAATTTCTAGAAACTTATGAATCACAGGCATGACAAAATGTTCTGTCACAGGAGAAAGACCAAACTAGCTGCGATATAAAATTAATAAGCGTAGTAAAGTTATATTTATCTTTTAAAATTCATTAAACCATACAGAATAAGCAAAATTTCGGTATGTTCAGTGTTGTTATATTACAACTAGTTTGATCTCTTTCCTGTGACAGAACATTTTGTCACGTCTGTGATTCATGAGTTTCTAGAAATTTTCAAAATTTGACAACAAATAATGTTTATAGCGCTTATTGATTCGGATAGATAAATCCCATTTTCGTCGAACTTTCATTTGGTATGAAATTCAATGTTGATCTCATTGTCGTTGGAGTTCTATCCCTCCCGGGCAAAACATTTTTGACAATCCTGTATATCGATCAAGCTTCGAGTACAATGACATTGCCCGTATCTTTTGCATGCATTATTGTTATCATTGTCTCTTCCATTTGCCTATACAAAATTAGCAAAGCATATAAAATGGATCGTGGTCAAAAAGTTACTCCACGTTGATAATAAATAAAAGTTTATTTGGTTTAATATTTTTTTTCTTCATAAATAGGTTCACATTGGCTAAAAATCCGAATAAAATCCTGTGAGATACGGTTTCTTTGTCTAACCTACGTATCTAAAACAGTTCTGTTAATGAACATATTGCATAGTTAGCAAAATTTTCACAAATCAATTTATCAACATCAGCAGATAAAAACCAATTAAAACATTTAATGATTGATTTGATGAAAAACGAAGGCTTATGAATTAAGAATTAGTTAAGCAAGGCAACGTATGTCAAATAAACCTTGAAATAAACAAAAACAAATCTCAAATAAATATTCTTGTCTTTTTTTAGATTGATAATTTCTTAGAAGCAAAGACTCAATTAAGTTCGCAATTAAATAAACTTTATCGTCATAGTGCTAATCGGCCACATGTTGAACAACAATGTCCCGATTTATTAAAAGTTATTGAAGACACGGATACGGTTGATGGGGCTAGTGATGATCGGCGGCATTCAGAAACTATTCACCTTCATTTAACATTAAATGATTTACGTCAAAAATTGAACAACATGGCCATAATGTTAAACCAACAACATTCATTTATCTATGCTAGATAAACTTTTTAATTAAAAAAACAATGTTATTGTTAGTCTTTTTCCTTATCGTGCATCATCAATTGAAGGCCATTGACATAATCAAATTGTTGCATTTCGTCTTCATCGTGCACAGAAGGATAAACATGAAGATGAATATTTTACAACAGCAATTATTCGTTACATAAAAGTTTTTGCAGCAATTTTTCGAAATGATTGTGTACTTTATTTATCACAAGATAATAAATATAAATTTCTACTTTGTTGATCAATAGTTCAAGTTCAGATATGAATACAAATGCATTTGTATTATGATGTACACTTACCAGATCACAATTGGACAGTTACATCAAAACACTAACCTACATCAAGTGTTTAAGCAGCATCCCTAGTAGAGAATCCCTTAACGAATTCCCAAGGAGCCCCCCAAAAAGTCCCCGGGGACTCACGACAGGGAGTCCCTGGGGATTTATAAGGTAGTCCCTAGGGATTATTCGGGAGCGGCTCTAAAACTGACTCTGTAGTCCTTCATAAATGACAGTTTCTTGAGGGATATACAACCCAGTACATGACCTTTATCAGTAATATTATCACTGAGCGACAGGCCTATGTAACATCTCCAGCGATATCGATGATGCGACACTCCTTACCATCACTCTTTCTGAACTGATCACTTTTCTTCCCACCATATGTGCGAACCTTCTCTTGTCAGCCTTTCTTATTATATGAGTGATCCTTCTCTTGTCAACCTTTCTTACCATGGACGCGCTCCTTCTTTCTCACTGTGATCCTTTCCTTGTCAACCGTTCTCGTGTGATCCTTCTCCTGTCATCTCTTGCATTTTCATACATCCTCGACCTTACAGCATTGTTCTTTTCTTTCTGCCGTTCACTTTTTATCCTTCTTTAGTTGTCATTCTCTTGTTATCCTTCTCTTTTTGTCATTCACTTGTGTCCTTCTCTTTGTGTCGTTCTCTTTCTGTAGTGTTCTTTCTATTGATCACTGCCTATAAAAAGCATACCGTTTGTCAGTGTAGGCATGCTGTGTTGAGATGGAGATTTAGAATAAAGACTCCCTCACCACACTTGAAGTTGTTACAGCCTACCTATCTATCTACCAGAGATGAGCACAGGACAGAACTGTGCGGTCGTCCTGTGTCATGTTCTGTCCTGTCATGCAGGGCAGGATGAACTTGTCTGTCCTGTTCTGTCCTGCCGCTCGGCAGGACGAGGACGAGGACTGATGGTGCGGCAGGACAGGACAGGACAAATACGCTCGTACTGGCTGCCACATTAGCTTTTTCATGGAATTTGACAAAAATAAATATCATAACTTAGTGTATGTAATATCTATAGAAGTTGATAACGGGTGAGGCAGAACAAATGGCGGTCTCAGTATTTCTTGAATATCTCGCTCAGTTTTGATCATGGAGAGTTAATGGTAGAGTTAAAACATGCTCTGTAGAATTCTCTACAAGGACTGTATCAAACATTTTTCTGTACAAAGCTAAGCAGAAATATGAAAAAAAGAATGCACAGCACACTCAAAAAAAAACAACTTTCTAAACTGAAAAATTGTTTGTTAGATGTTTTTCGTCGGCTAATAATGACAAATATAAAATAATATAGGAATTTTTTAGCCCTTGAATATCTCTATCGATTGATCTTAATTTGAAAATTTTCATATTCATCCTTGTGACGTACTCCAATAATCTTCTTTTTCAGATTTTCGAGAAATCAGCTGTTGCAATCTATGATTTCGGAGCTCCTGGGAAAAGCGGCATAACTAAGCCAAAATCGCATCGTTTTGGTTCGGATTTTCTTTATTTTGATGGAAAATGACTACTGTACCGGATTCAGAGACGAAAGTTGAGCTAAAGTTTTCTTCTTAAATTCAGCTGGCGAAAAATATCACATTTGGACCATTTTTAATAGTTTTAAAAAGTCAGAATTTTCCATCTTCAACTTGATTATACCGAACTTTGAGTCATACAGCGAGAAAGAACACACTTCAAAGTACTCAAAAACATCTTCATTACCGCTGTTTTGTTTTCGAAATTCTAAAAACAATATCCAATATTATTTAAAAAATGGTTTTGAAAGTTGGTCCTGTAGAGTGTGTTGTGTATTCTTGTTTTCATATTTTTGCTTAGCTTTGTAGAGAAAAATGTTTCATACAGACCTTGTACAGAATTCAACAAGGTATCCTTTAACTCTATCATCGGCTCTTCGTGATCAAAGCTGAGCGAGATATTCAAGAAACATTGACACCGCCATTTATTCTGCCTCACCCATTCAAAATGGTAACTTATAATGCTTTTTATTTTTGTTTAACTGAATTATGTTTATTCACAAGTAAAACAGTAACGCTTGGAAAGGTTTTGAAATAAATTGACAAGATCAGTACAGGGATAAGAATACGTGACTTGATCAAAAATTGAACAAATATAGTGCTTAACTTGCATTAAGTCTTACTTTTGCCTGTGTCCTGTCCTGCCGCTCGGCAGGGCGAGGGTTGATGGTGCGGCAGAGCAGGGAAGGGCAAAAAACGTCGTCCTGTGCTCATCTCTGCTATCTACGTATCTGCCTAACTATCTACCTACCTATCTATCTACCTATCTAACTATCTATCTGTCTACCTATCTATCTACCTAACTATCTGTCTATCTCCATACGTACCTACCAACCTACCTCTCTATCTATGTTACAACATACATGTCTTTCGAGGGTTAAAGCTCAGTGATAATACCGCTAAGAGTCGTCATGGATTCGAAGTCAATGAAAAAAGTACTTCTTGAGGAGTTCCTAGAAAGTGACTCCCCAGGGAGTACGCCTTTTTCTCCCCACTCCGTAAAATGTGGAGATTCCCTAAAATATCCTGGAAATCCCTTGTTTTTAGGAACTCTCCGTAGATTTTGGGGGATTTCCTGGTGACTCACCGGGGATTTTACATTTTTTCGGGGACTCGTTAAGGGATTCTCGACTAGGGATATGTTTTATCTGAAGATGGTTATTTAGGTTCAACATATGTTGTTCCACGTTCATATGCCTATAATCAATTAAATACTGAATAACATGCAGTCTATTTTAATCGCATTAGTAATCTAAAAATGTTGGAAAAGTTGCACGTGATGGCACAGAACAAGTTGAACCAATTGTTATTTTTATTCTTCACGGTGGTTCAGATGAAAATCTACGTTTTCTATAAAATCTTTAGTGCTAGCATGAGAAAATTTTATAAAATAAAATTTCGATACTTTTTTTGTTTTTACACGTACCTAAGTTTAGTCATTTAAAAGAATTTCAAAGGTCAAATTTTGCCTCTTTTTTCAGTCTAGGCCAATTAGCTTATAATATCGTTGAAAGTCGTGTTCTAGTATTATATTATGGCTTACGAGGGAACCTTTTCAGATGCCCCCACCGATTTCAATGAATTTTTGTCTGCAGATACTACATAGTGCCCTAGTAAATACCCTAAAAGGATTCGGGTTCCTAGCGCTTCCTGCAAAAGTTATGAAGATTTTAATTTTGCTTCTATAAAGGACATAATATACAATATCAAAAACTCTGTAATCTTATCAAATTATCATGTACAAGCCAGAAAACTATTTTCTAGTATTGCTTAATAGTTGTTACATTCATAGACAATTGTAGTGCTTTAATTCTTTTTATAATTGAGTTTTCATCTTGGAGAAAGAAAATAGTTTTCTGGCTTTTGCATGGTAATTTGATAAGATTACAGAATTTTTGATATAGTATATTATGCCCTATATAGAGGCAAAATTAAAATCTTCATAACTTTTGAAGGAAGCGTTAGGATCCCAAATCCTTTTAGGGTATTTACTAGGACACTATGTAGTATCTACAGACAAAAATTCATTGAAATTGGCTGGGGGCATCTGAAAAGAGTCCCTCGTTAGCTGGTCTTATATTAGCACATAATCATTTTGGTTCACATTTAAATGGTTTAGGTCTATAAATAAACATTCATGAGGAAAAATTAAATTTTCGATCAACTGAACAAATCTTAGCTGAAATATGGAATCAAACAATAATCGATAGTGTTTCTATGTTATGCAAAATATATTAATCGATCAGCTATGTCAGAAGATCAACATTGAAAGATTTATGTTAAATATGATATGAATTATATTTTATGAGAGAATATTTGCAATTTTTTCTATTGAATTAGTTAAATAATTTTTGTATAGAGTTTAGGTTGAAGAAGAAGCTAAAGAAGCACATGACTTTCGTGTATACTTGAGCAGACAATAAAATTGAAAAAAGTGTTTAATCACTATAGAAACTTCGTGCGTTTTAGGATGCTAATCGTAGTCGCCGATTGTCATCCAAAAACGCCACAAATTAAAAAAATATGAAGATAGAAAATATTTCACGGTACCCGATATTTACCATGATACAATGTCCCATTTTTTTTAGATATATTCTCGCACAAAAAAGGTAATTATCTATTTGTCTATGTTTCTTCGATGTTTATGGTTGATTGTCGGCAACCGCGACAGTCATCGTAATACAGCTAAAAACCTAAAGCTTGAAAACGATGACTGTTCAGCATGCACCAAGTTTCTAAGATTTTCACTATGCTACGTTTGCACACATCCTAATTACTAATACCTGGATGTTTCTAACTAACCAATGGCCACGGCGCTTACCCTACAAAGATATTATTATTTTATTAGCATGTAAATGCTTGAGATACGAAACCTTCAATCGTCTTTTTTCTGGAACTACTTAACCCTTTTCTGATAGATGTGTTGCGCTGATCTGTTCGCCGAAAAGATCAGCTATTGTTCACAATATCATTTTCTTCAGAATTTGTTCAGATGAGAAGTTGAAATATCAGAACGATCACACATTGACAGAATAGAACGTAGTTTATGACCTTCCACAACTGAACTTTCTTCGAACTTGTTTAAGATATATTTCAATTCCATTGTCATTCTCTCTTGATTATTTTCCTATAACAACATTTTTTCTTTTAACTCTTCCACTACAAAATTTAAA